GAAGATTCGCAGGGAAAGACAAGGAAAGTGTGACCAACTCATCTTGGTGTGAGCATCCCAGGAATTGCCTCAGTACCGGGCAGAGCAGGATGGCGGGTCACTGAGACCCAGGAGAAGGTGAAGACCACTCCCTTCACGAGCTCCCCTTACCCTCAAATTCTTCTCCATAGGCTGCAGGCCCCCCACTGTCCAGCCCCAACTGTCCTTTCTGGCCTTCCTGACTGGTACCTCCTGCCCTCACATTCCTTTGCCAAATCCATCAGTTTGCATAGTTTCCTCAGCAACACAAAAGCCAGCAAACGGGGCTGAGCCAAACACAAATTACCTGTGGTTCCTCACATCTCCAGGGCCACCCTTCTTTGGAGGTGCAAAGGCATATTTACTGCATTAGCTGGAGAAACAGTGGTCAACCGCAAGCGAGTATTCTCAAACGGAGACCGTCCCTGGAAATTTGGAGGTTGGCACTTCTCATTAATTTGATGCCCAGACATCTCCCTGTCAAATCTCTCAGGCTTTCAAGTGTTAAGACCGGTGGCACGTGAAACTATTCCCCTTTGTGGCTTCGGGACTCCTCTTTCCCTCCTTTCCTCCTACCTTTAAGTCAACGATAGCTCAGGGTTCCCTGCCTGCCTCTCCTTCAGTCATCCTCATCAAACTCACGCCCTTTCTCTCCTCTCCCTCCACACACTTTCTGAAGGCTGATTTCAGCAAGACTCCAAGATTAATTCTTTTGGTGTCCACCCTTTTTTCTTTCTCAATGCATTGGCTTGTTTTAAAAAAAAAATGAATACTACACTCAGGGCAGGGCAGGGTCTGGGGAAGGAGATGGGAGAGTTGAGATGGTAGAAAGGAGGTGAATGGATTGGAGGGGAACATTTTGGTAAAAGATACGCCGTTTGTTCCAGAGTCACGTACTTCTCTGCCCTCTTTGTAAACTGGGCCAATAGTGGCATCTGCTCCCAAGGTTGCCGTGAAGGGAAAGGAGGTGGTAAAGTACAAAGCGCTTAGAACGTGCAAAGAGGAAACGCTCGCCAAATACTAGCCGTGGTCGTTATTACCTCAAGGGGCTTTTAAGTAGTTTCTTTGAAGGGGCGTTCTTCTTTGGAAAGAAGTAGGGAAAACGCGCCCCAAGGGAAAACTTGTCTCCTTTGAACCAAGTTAAATGAAGGCATTATAACTGGGTCAGGAAGTTTACTAGTAAGTCTGATGACTAAGAAGATACATGAGATACACCCAACATATAGCCAGTAACGTTACAACTAATGATCAGCTCTGCAGAAGTAAATCCTTCTAAAAAGAAAAAAAGTTGTGTTTTTCTGTTGTTGTTTTTTTAAAGAAAGCATCGGCTTCTGTTCCTTAGCTAATATTAGAGGTAGTGAGCCCTCATATGAAGGGCACAAAAATCTGGATTTAAACCAGATCCTCCTCCCGCACCAAGACTGCTCACCCAAGTGACTCCCACGCTGCCCATGTGAATATTTTCACATCCTCCTGCTGAAGGGGAACATCTGTTCTGCGCTGGCATGCAGCTGAAAGAAACGGACCACCCTCACCTAGTTAGTAATTATCATTTACCTGGCATCAGAAAATGAGTTCCAGTAACAGATTCTAAGGAGCTAGAGGCAAAGCAGCTGCTGATCAGAGCACCCTGGGGCCCTGAAGCCAGGGTGACAGTGCCTTGTGGGATTGGTTCTCCTCCCCCCAGGGTATACAACTGCAGTATCTCACAGGGTTTCCCAGAGTATAAGGCCTCAAGACGTGCTGCAAAGCACCAAAACTTAAATCTCAAAACATGTCTGTGGGTAAAAGAGGAGTGCCCCCAAGAGCGGGGCTCCTCCCTCGCTATCCACCAAGCAAAGGCTGGGGGTGAGGAGTCTTCCTAAGACTCCCTAAGGCAAACCATATGTGGAAAATGCTCCAAATAAATACCTGGCACACAACAATTTTATAAAGCTGGAAGGAATAGTTCTCAAAATATCAAGATGTGATACTTCACGGAAATTCTAAATGCTCCTTTCTGTTCAATATGATTCTCTTGCATAATTGAGATCACATTATATGAAGTGTTCATGTTTGTTTACTTACTTTAACCTACAGTGATTTTCCATGACATCAGACATACTATAATATTCCATAATACATCACCCTATGAATACTTTTAAAGTACATAATTATTCCTCTATCGCTGGAGATTTATGTCTTTTTGCATTTCACCATAAATAAGGATATAACAAACACTGGGTTTAAATGCAGATCCAGACCTCTCATTATTCCCCTAGGATATTTTCCAAGAAGTGAGTTATTGATTAAAGAATTTGTTCTTATAGTCTCTTCATGGCAAGTTTTAACAATCACCCCTGTGGTATGAGCATGTGTTCCTCAATATAGTCTCATTTAAAAAAAAACACACAAAATTCTCCAAAACAAACAAAAAAAATCACCCTAATTTGGGGTTATAAAAATTGTTTTCATTTGGATTTTTAATTGAATTTCAGATTTTTATATTAGCCATTTGTAGTCCCCTTATTTTATCTTCTGCGAATTTTACATCCTTTGCTCCTTTTACTCTTGGCATTTTAATGCTTTTAAAAAATATATTAGTATAAGGGGATTGAAAAGTAATGGGGAGTGACCATGCAAGAGTACACAATTTCTTTTGGGGGTGATGAAATGTTCTCAACCTGATTGTGATGTTATACTAAAGACCACTGAATTGGAAACTTAAAATGGGTGAACTGTATGGTAACTGAATTATAGGTCAGTAAAGCTGTTTTTTTTTAAAGCATAAATAATTTCCATATTAAGATATTCAGCTTCCTTCTTTCAAAATCTGTTGGTGAATTTTCCAATTCTAATTGTCTTTTGCTTTCTCATATCCAGGAATACTTTCAGCTAAATCTGTTATCTGTTCTCTACTGAATCCTGCCACTGCTTTTATTCAGAAAACTCCATCACATGCAAAGATAGCCACAAGACATGCTCTTCCAGTTTATTGTCATTCTCAATCCGTCTGGGTTTTGGTGCACATTACAAAGCTATAATTTAATGTTCTCCAACTACATTCTGATGGTTCCTTTGCAATATTTTACATATACTAACTTCTATTTCTGGGCTATCACTGTTAGCAATCTGAGAGTTCAAAAACAAACTTGTAGTAGTCTTTAATATTTTTTACCTTTAAAATATGGCTTCGTTCTATTTTTTTTTTTAATTCTTTAAAAAAAAAGAAAGGGGGGAGGGTAAGTTCAGTAGTAAGGTTGCATGCTTAGTATGCACAAGGTCCTGGGTTCAATCCCCTGTACCTCCATTACAAAAAAAAAAATTAAAATATGGTTTCATATCTAGTATTGCACAACTCCATTAATCTCCTCTTTCAAAGCATTCCTAGCTATTCTTGCACTTTTTTTTTTCTTTCGGATGAAATTTAGAACAATTCTATCAACCCTTTAAAAATATGATTGGGCTTATATTTGACTGATGAATTGATCTACGAAGGATCATGTTTAAAATATTTACCAGCTAGAAGCACAATTTTTTTTAATCTATAGTAGTCTTTTATTCAGATAGATCCCACACATATCTTAAATTGTCTACATTTTACACAGTTTATTGCCATGATGAAAGATAACCTATTCCCCTATATCTTAAAACATCTCTTTTGCTTGAACATGGTAAAACTATTAATTTTGAGATATCTGGCAGTACTTGCCTAATTTTTATCAATTTGGAGACAAGATTCTTGGGCTTTCTACTTGGACGTCGTTATCATCTGTGCTAATGAAAACAGTCTTTTCTTTCTCAAGTTATAATTCACTTCTAGCTGGGATATTATTACACTGAAAAATATTAAATCAATATTCTGATAACAAGCCCTGAAAACTTGAAGCACATATTAAAATTAAATCTTGGACAAGCAGGTTTCTAAAGGATATGTAAAGCTCTCAAGCTTTTGAGAAAACCTGAAGGTCAGTCCATGTTGCCCCTTTCTAGAGTCTGTTTTATCTAAAATGGGGCGAAAGAGCACCCAGCAGGGTTTAACAGGTCAGGTGAGAAGACATCTGGAGCAGACATTCAATATTCCAGGGGAGGGGGCTGCCCCTTTTCCCTCAGGTGTGCCCTCCACCTTCAAACCACAGCAAGTCACAGACCTTGTCAGAATGTGTGCCCCCGGTTCCTCAGCAGACACCAGCTGAAGTCAGTAGTGCCCAGAAAGCAATACTATTAAATTGCATTCGTTTTCAGTCCTCTGTCCAGGTCCTTCTGCATAATCTGGGTTACAGTTTCTGCCACTGACACATCCTCTGTCTCTCAGGCATTTCTGCCTAGAGAATTCATCTTCTGTTTTTAATCACTCCTCACACAGAACTCTTTGTTGGTTACAAACTAGCACATCCAATTACTAAATCTAATATTGAGGTGCTGGCAGCTAAAAAGTAAGAGTAACTTGTGGAGACAAGGCATTCGTTCTTGAATAGCTCATCTGAATAGTGGTATGACTAGTTCAAATGTTTTCAGTTGTGTCCACATTTGAGAGGAAAACTTACGTTAACCACACTTGCCATGAAAGTACTGCATTTTTTTTTATGTTTACCAAAATGAAAAATGAGTATTTTTCTAAGCCAACCAAAAGAGTTTAGTCCAGTTGACTCTACAGATGAAATGAAGTAAAACATGGCTTCCTCTTCCTCAAATGATGACAGAACAAAGTCCATTTATTTCATTTAAGTGACTTGTACTTGATGAATGATACAAATACACGTCTTGAGACAAGAATGTTTCTCATTTTCAAGGCTGAATGGCTGTTTACCATGGTCTGGGAAGAGCCTAGGTCACTGCCTATAAAGGAAGAACTATTTTTGTTAACTCTTGTCCTTTGTAAGTAATATGTGAATCCCAATCAGTAAGCACTTCATTGACTAGAATCCTTCCATTATGAAACTGCAGGTGATGTACATTTAAGGATTTATTTGGGAATACGATTTCCAGTAATTCCCTATAAAAGACCTTAAATGACAGTAAAAAGAAATTAGTGTTTAATAACTGACATATAGGAAGCAATTTAAATGACATATCTTTCCCAAAGAACTTATGACATTTTTGCTCTTTCTGAATCGAGTATGGGTTTCCTTTTGAAATCATCTTGATTCTTCAAGTTGCTTGGCTGAATAGGATGAATTTCATTTGCGTTAAGTTATGCTGAGAAGTACAAAATTAACGAGTTCTCATGCCTATATGATCCCTGAAAGAGCCATTAACAATAGGGTGATATTCAGACACATCTCAACAAGTGCCGTACTCAGAAGACGAGATATACAGCTGCATAAAAGATGGTCAGGCCACAGCTTTAGTCTGGGGCTTGGGGAAATTATTTTGAAAATCCTGTTTTTATATCTATAGTGGAGAAAAAAATCTCTCAAAAACTGCCAATTTAAATATTAATTGGATTCAGTCACGCTACAATAAGAGCACTTCGATTAATGATAATTTCGGTTGTTTGTAAATTTTTTCAATTTTCAATTTTGCTAAATTCAAAGATCCATTCAACTGAAAGCAAATGGGCACAATATTAACAAACAATGTCTCCAGATGAGGGTTATATGGTGTTTACTGTACTATTATTTTTAATTTTCCTATAGATTTGCAAATGTTCAAAATAAAATGGAAAAAGTCTATGGTATAGTATTTCAGACACCATGAATGAAGTTTAAAAACACAAAGCACAGACACAAATATGTCAATGAAAATCACTGGTTTTAGAATTAAAAAAAAAAAAAAAGAGCCCTAACTCTTTCTTCTGAAAGTTATCAAGGAGAAACATGTGACAAGCATGAAAAGGACAAACTGGTTTAGAAGCCAACAGAGACAAAACACTCTGCATACAATGCTCTCATTGACATCATCTCTTGAATTTTCAAAGGAAGTTTTTTTTTTCCTTTTTTGGTCCAACACTGGCTGCCATATTAAATCATGCAAACCATAGCAATCCACACTGGCTTGCACATTTACAAATGATACTTTCCAAAAATGTGAAACTCTCATTCAGGAGGATCAGTGTAACAAGTCTCTCCATAAAATGAAAATGTTTCCTAACCCTGAGGAAGAAACAACAGTTTTCTCAGTTGAATGTTTGAAAACTGTCTAATATGAATTTCTAATATACAATTTAATTTGGCTAAGTTTTAAAAATAAAGCACATGGGTTTGATTCTTATTTAGAGTCTCAGATAAAAGATAAAGCTTCACACTTCCTCTTAGATCTTTTGTTGAACAGTATCAGCTTATCAAAAGGGCAAGTTGTTTGCTTTTTTTAAATCTTCACTTCCTTTGCGATATGAGACAGCACAATAGCAACCTCAAATCATTTGTCTTTCAGTGAAAAGTAGAGTAAAAACCATATGCTGAGAATAGCATCAATACTGACACAATTTGCTCCAAACCTAATGTTCCCTTTAGGATTCCCAAGCCTTCAAGCATGCTTTTCCCCTATTCATAGGTTCTGGGAGAGAAGGAAACTTACAATGCAAGAGCTAAGGAACAACCAATGGGCAGGTTAACATGAAGAAGGACAGAGGAAGCCAGTTGTTTTCAAAAGGAGACACAGGTGACAGTAGGACACAATAGCCTGGAAGGATGGACACAAGCAGGTCCAAAGAGCCACAGCCATGATTTCTGGGGATAGTACAAATTGCTGGTTTTATCACTCATCATAAGCCTTAGAAATTATCCAAATATGACTCCTCCTCCCTTCTGCCACACCTACTTCACCCTTTCTATCTTAGCTCTCCATGCTAATTACTGCCAGTCAGATCACAGAAGAGAACTGAGGCTGTAATATGGGGAATAATGAAAACAAGTTTATATACAGCTTCATATCAGGGTGAAGGGAGACTGGGGAGAGGAGTAGATAGACAACTACTTGAAAAAATTGAGTGTTACTTTGTAGACATTACGACAATAAACAGACACCTTAACTTTTTAAATAATCTAAGATGATATCTTTTCTAATAATCTAAGATGATTCACAGAATCAACTAAACTAGTAATTGTGTTTTTTCTTTTAAAAAAATGTACATTGTTAAATGAAAAATATTCACGTGCAATCAAGCCCGTTTTTTCAAGTTCCCTGAGATGGCACAGATACACAACAGCGCAATGTTACAGCAGAGGGTAAATCATTTACAAAGTTCATTTAGAGTCACATTTCTCTTTCAACAAATATAACCTACAAGATAAATTACCTATTGGTTGTTGCTATAAATTTATTAAAATCAGGAAAATCATCATATTTAAAGCTCTCCAAGTAATTTTGGCACAGGTCAACTCTTAGGGTTTTTTGTTAAGTCCCTGAGCTCTTTTATAGGCTAGATTGTATGCAGCCTCCTCTCCAGTCACCCGGGCCACCTTTCCTCACAATGCCTTGCAACGTGCCCTGGTCTCACATTAAGTCTAAGTCAAGGCATAAAACTACAACCTTTCTAACCAACTGTGCTCTGCAGAAACCTCATAGCTTCTCTGACATAGAGTTAGATTCTGTAGGCGGAAGAATCAAATGGGGGTACATCTCATGCATCCTTCTTATTTCTAAAACTGCCACCAACGGTTAGTGTTTTAATGTCTCCAGGGCTTTATGCCGCAGATGCTCGTCCAAACACTGGATGGCAAAGAAGTCTATGTCTGTGTCAAACTTATTGGCAAACAGGTGGTGCACGTGCAGCATCCAGTTTAAGTCACCAGCTCCGAAAACACATACAGAGCGCACGTGGATGCCGCTGCACGGCGGGTAGGGGGCGCCCTTGGAAACATCACCTTCAAAGTACTGCCACTTAACAAACCTGGCAATAGAGTGCATGTCTGACATGTCGTACTTAGAACTTAAGGACAGTGAGCCCGGGACTTCAGGCATCCTCTGAATAGTGGCCCAGAGATACTCGTCTGGGCTGTATGTATCTTTTGCCCACTCCATAAACTTCCGGATTTTTTCATTCTCAAGCACATAGCCCACATACTCCCTACTGACCACAAAATAGGCGCTGCCTGAAAACAGCGGCGTTTCAAGAGGAGGATGTATTTTGTCAGTCCCCATGTTTGTCAGCTTTCCATTAACTACTGTATAGTGCTTTTTCCACCTTTCTTTTTTATGGGCGGGCATTTTCTCCGTTTCTAGGTTGTTCTCGCCCATTAACGACTTGAGCTTCCTGACAATTTCCAGGTTGGTTTTAATCGGAAAATCCATACCGCAGAGATTGATCAAGTACTTCCAGTCCGCATTCATTTTGTAGAGGTCCTGCATGCAGTTGAGGTCAGCCTGAACCCGGCTCCACGAGGCATACACCACACTCTCCAGTTGCCTGGCCACAAAAACGTTACTGAAACAAGACGCAATGCCAATCACTGCAGCCAAAAAGGATTCCTCGGATTTTTTGTCCACGTGAATGCAGTAGAAATTCTGAGGCATATAGATGGCCCTCAGAGCCTGTCGAGCATTTCGATTTTGTGATGAACCACTATGGAATATGCTATTGGAAACTCTGCCTCTTCTTTACTAAGGGGTTCTACAATGTATTTGCGCTTCTTGATGAAAGAAGTACAATCACTGGTCATGTTGACGTAGTTGTAGGTTGTCCATCGAGGGCGCTTCCTAAATTCCACTGTTAGACTCTCAAGCTTTACCTTTTGGATTTCATCTACATCACCCTGTAAAACTTTGGTGCAATTAATATTACGACTAGGGTTCTCTTCTGCCAGCTCCAAGTGTCTGAAACTTACAAGTTCAGGCTTTTGATGAATTCTTAAAACAGAGAAGGTGACTAGGGAAAAAACAAGAAGTAAGAAGTAGTATTTAGTGGGATAAGAAAAAAGTCTCCTCCTCCACAACTTCCTCAGCATTTCAACAACTGGGGGCTTGGCTTTATTAAGAGCAGTTTCCCAGGCTTCAAGCAGTAATGATTTCCCCTCGATCGTGGCCTGGAGGTTTGTCAGTTTGCATGTCTCAGAAGTGCAAAGGCATCTTGAAATGGAGAATAGCACTAAAAGAAAAATAGAAAGGATATGTGTGTGTAAGTACAGTCTTTCATGACATCCTGTGAGGTTCAAAAACTGCTCTCTTTGCTATGAGGTGAGATGTTTAAGACAAAAATAGAGTGGGTCAGCCAGAGGAAAGGAAGCAGGGTTACAAGAAACCCACTGTAAAAAATACTGAGTGCAAGGATATACTAGAATATCCTGCAATCAACATTTTACCTCTCAGGTATACTGAGGTGCAAAACACAGTTGAAGACCTAGACCATAATCACTGAATTCTCCATAGCTAGTGAGTTTTTGATCCTGTGCCAGTGCTATAATTAGTACCCCTAGCCTTGACATCCTGACTATTCTGGGTTCTCCTGACATATCCATTCATGTCCATCAGTTGGCATCAGCGGCCCCAAATATTTGAAGAGATCAGATCCATTCTGCTCTTCGCCAATTTAGGATTGGAGGTGCACTTAAGAAGGTATTCCGAAATGGCTGTGACTTTTAAGAACCTCTGAAGGAAAAGCAGGTCAACTGGATTTTCAAATGGGACCAGAAAGTCTCAGGTGAAATCAAGTCAGATTTGGGACTGTTTTGGGTTGACGTCACTTTGTTCAGCTCCAAACAGTGAGCACCATAGGAAGAGAAGACTTACACAACCCGAAAGAAACAGCTTTGCATTTTCTGCATTAATTATTATAAGTTATAATAGTTAAGGCTTGCTGAGGAACACTGCTTGTACACAAATTGTAATTTATGGAAGACCCTTCTATATTCAAATTCCATCAACCTAACCCAGTTTTATTATGTAATATATTTACAAATTTACAATTATTGTTTTGTTTTCAAAAGCCAACTTTATAACATGGCAATTGTTCTAATAAAGAAAGTCAAATACCATCAATTATCTCAATACCAGATTTATAGAGATTTAAAAATTTTTCAACAATAGAATTAGCACCAGAACTTTTAAATACTAGGAAATAAATTGTGAATATTACTAATACAAATAACTGACTATGATTAGTGTAGAATAATGTTACCAAAAGTACTTAGACTTTTTACCATTAAAAATCAAGAAAAGTTTGGCTCATTTAGTTCTCTGATTCCAGGTTTAGTTCTCTGATTCTCCTGTGCCCATGGAGAGTGCTTCTCATGCAGTCAGGTTTCTTAAAGGTACCAGGCATCCAGCAATGCTGTTATGTCCCATGAGTCTTTTTAAAAAAAAACAAAAAACATGTGAAACAAAAAGAGAAATGTATGAAAAGATATATATGCATACATAAGTATACATATACGCTCAGAAAGCATACTGGTGAACTAATTCGACATATTCACTTTTTTCTTCAAAATGATAGCTGGTCATATTCGACATATTCACTTTTTTCTTCAAACTGATGGCTGGTTGATTTCTCTCTTTTAAAATTTCCTTCTCTCCAGTCCTTTTTTTTTTCCCCCCAATTCTATGTTTGCAGATTGCTAAAGGTTTGCAGACATCCTGCAATTTAGGCTAAACTTTTCTGAAAACTCTAACAGCATCTCCCAAAGTATGTGCCAAAGAATAGTTTGATCGTCTTCTATGATTGGAAAATCCAACATGCCCTATCCTCACTGTGAGGATTCCCAGTGCTCACTGGCTCACTAAGGACAATTCTGCAATTGAATTAGCTGCTTATCTCATATTCCTCAACTATCTGGCCTACCATCCCACTCCAAACCTCTACTGGAAGGCAAACACTGGGAGATTCTGCTAAAATACTTAAGCATCTTAACCATTAAAACATCCCTAAACAAAAGTATATCCTTAAGCAATTTCTGCTTAAGGCATTAAGGAAATCTGACTAATCATCAGTCAATTTCTAAGCTAACTGAAAAGAGACTTAAATTGCCTCATGCAACAAAGAATACAGATTTAGAAAATTAACTCTGGTAGGTCACTAAATAAATGACAACAAACCATGGTCAGGGTTTACCCCTAGTAATTAACAAATAACAGCTGCTCTATTTCCTTGTCCTGCACAACATATCCTTGTTGTTTATTTATTTTACAAATGGTAATTTGTGTCTCTTAATCCCAAACCCCTATCTTGTCCCTCTTCCTCTGCCCTTTCCCTACTGGTAACCACTAGTTTGTTCTCTGTATCTGTGAGCCTGTTTCTGTTTTATTATGTACAGCCGTTTTATTTTTCAGAATCCACATATCACTAATAACAGAGTACTTGCCTTTCTCTGTCTTATTTCATTAAGCATAACACTCCCTAGGTCCATCCACATTGTTGCAAATGGCAGAAGTTACCTTTTTATGGTTGAGTAATATTCCACTGCATATGCATTTTTTCTCTCTCTCTCTCCATATATATATATATATTTCACATCTTCTCTATTCATTCATCTGTTGATGAACAATTTAGGTTGCCTCCAGATCTTTCCTATTGTAAATAATGTTGCTATGAACACTGGGGTGCATCTTTTTGAATTAGCGTTTTCATTTTCCTCTGATGCATTCCCAGCAGTGGAACTGCTGGATCATACAGTAGCTCTATTTTTAGTTTTTTGAGGAATCTCCATACTGTTTTCCATAGTGGCTGCACCAATTTACATTCCCACCAACAGTGTACTAGGGTTCCCTTTTCTCCACATCCTCACCAACATTTGTTATTTGTAGACTTTTTGATGACAGTCTTTTTAACAGGTGTGAGGTGGTATCTCATTGTTGTTTTGGTTTACATTTGTCTGATGATACAAAACTGCTGAGCATTTTTTCTTATGGCTCTTGACCATCTGCATATTTTCTTTGGAAAATGCTATTCATGTCTTCTGCCCATTTTTGTATTGCTTTTTTTTTGATATTGAGTTGTATGAGCTGTTTATATATTTTAGGTTAGAACCCCTTATCAGTCATATCATTTACAAATATTTTCTCCCATTCAGTAGGTTGTCTTTTTGTTTCATCCAATGGTTTCCTTTGCTGTGCAAAAAGCTTTTAAGTTTAAAAGTAGGTCTCATTGTTTATTTTTGCTTTTATCTCCTTTGCCTTAGGAGACAGTTCAAAAAAACTACTGTCACAATTTATGTCAGAGTGTTCTTCTTATATCCTTGTCTAGGAGTTTTATGGCTTCAGGTCTCACATTTAGGTCTTTAATCTATTTTGAGTTTATTTTTGTATATGATGTGAGGAAATGTTCTAATCTTGTTCTTTTACACTTAGCTGTCCAGTTTTCCCAACACTACTTATTAAAGATACTATCTTTTCTCCACTGTATATTCTTGCCTCTTTTGTCATAGATTAATTGGCCGGAAGTGCATGGGTTTATTTCTAGGCTGTCTATTCTGTTCCACTGACTTATATGTCCGTTTCTTTGCCTGTACCATGCTGTTTTGATTACTGTAGCTTTGTAGTATATTTTGAAGTCAGGGAGTACACTATCTCCAGAAAAAAAAATTGAATAATGGCTGAAACTTCCCCAAATTTACTTTAAAAAATTAATCTTCACATCCAAGAGGCTCAACAAGCTCCAAGAATACAAAAGGGACAATCACTTTGGCAGACAGTTTGGCAGTTTCTCACAAAGCTACTTACAGGCTAATCATTCAACCCAGCAATCACACTCATAGCTATTTATTCAAATTGAATACATATGTAGACACAAAAACAGGTATGTGAATGTTTATAGCAGCTTTATTCATAATTGCCCAAAACTAGAAGCAAGAAAGACGTCATTTAATAGGTGAATGGATAAACAAATTATGGTACAATTATAACATGGAATATTCAGTGATTTTAAAAAAAATGAGCTACCAAGCCATGAAAAGACATAGAGAAAGCTTAAACGCACATTACTAAGTGAAAGAAGCCAATCTGAAAAGACTACAAACTGTATGAGTTTAACTATGTGATATTCTGGAAAAGGTAAAAGCTAGAGAGACAATAAAAGATCAGTGTTTGCTAGGAGTTTGGAGAAAGGAAGGAACCAATGAATAGGTACAGAACAGGGCATTTTGGGGGGTGGTAAAACTATTCTGTAGGACATTGTAATGGTGATTAAAGGATATTATGAATTTGTCAAAATCCATAGAATTGTACAACACAAAGACTAATCCCTCTTAATTATAACTAACTAATAATGTATCAATATTGTTTCATCAATTGTAACAAATGTACCACACTTGTGCAAAACACTAATAAGAAAAACAGTGTGAGCAGGTTAGTGGGAACTCTGCACTCTGTGTAATTTTTCTGTAAACTTAAAACTTCTCTAAAAAAGTAACCTATGAAAATTGAAAAAAACAAACAAACAAAACAAAGCTAAACTGGATATTCAAGAAGCTCAGTGACTTCCAAGACGATTAACTCAAATAAATTCACATCTTGATACTTAAACTGTTGAAAACAACTTGAAACGACACTTCTAGAAAAATGAAAACTAAGAGAATTCATCACTAGCAGACCTGCCCAAAATAAATACTAAATGGAGTCCCTGAGGATGAAATGAAAGGATGCTAGACAGTAACTCAAATTCACATGAAGAAATAAAAAGCAACCATAAAAGTACATACGCAGGAAATGTAATTTTCTATGAACACTTTTCCCATCTGATTTAAAAGATAACTACATAAAGCAGTAATTATAACACTGTGTTGACAGGCTTATAATGTATAAAGATGTAATTTATATACTAATAATAGTATAAAGGAGGGAAGGGGAACAGAACTATACTGTAGCAAAGTTTTTACATACTATTGAAATTAAGTTGATATTAATTTCAAATAGAACATTTTAAGTTAAGAAGGTTTTTTGTTTGCTTGTTTTGTTTTTTGGTAATTCCCAGGTCAATCACTAAAAATAGTAACTAGAGAACATATAGTAAAGGAAACATCAAGGGAGTTAAACTAGCACAGTGGGAAACAAAAGAATATAGTAATTGAGGAAGAGAGTAACAACAAAAGACATAAGACACACACACACACACACACACACACACAAAACAAATAGCAAAATGGCAGATGTAAATCCTATCTTATCTGTAATTATAATAAATATAAATGGACTAAGACCTCCAATCAAAAGGCAGAGATTGGCAAAATTTTTAGTTTTAAAGATTCAACTATATGATGTTTACAAAAGACATGGCTTTGATTGAGAAACACAATTAGGTTGAAGTAAAAGAATGTAAATAGATATACTATGCAATAATACCTAAAAAAGAGCTACAGTAACTATACTAATCTGACAAAATCGACTTTAAGACAAAAATTAGACAAAGAAGGGTTTTTTTATAATTATAAAATGAACAGAAAGAAGGTCAACAAGGAAACAGACAACTTGAGCAAGATAATAAACTAACTAGACCTATAGAACACTTCACCCAACAGCAAAATACACATTCTTCTGAAGAACACATGGAACATTCTCCAGGTGGGCATAGGCTAGGCCATCAAACAGACCTCATTAAATTTAAAAAGACAGAAATTATGGCATATATGTCCTTCACTACAAAAGAATGAAATTAGAAATCAACAACAGTAGAAAATTTGAGAAGTTCACAAATATGTGGAAATTAAACTACACACTCCTAAAAAAAGCAATGGATCAAAGAAGAAATACCTAGAGAAATCAGAAAACAGTTTGATAAAAATAAAATGAAAACAAATACAAAAACAAAAAGACCTTACAGGATGAAGCAAAAACAGTGTTTGAGAGAAATTATATATGTAAACACTTACATTTTTAAGATCTCAAATCAATAATCTAATCTTCCACCTTAACATGAAAAATGAGGGCAAATCAAACCCAAAGCAAGCAGAAAATATTAGAGCAGAAATAAATGAAGCTGAAAATAATAACACACACACACACACAACCCAATGAAACCAAAAGTTGGCTCCTTGAAAAGATTAGATAAACAAATCTTCAGCTGGATTGACCAAGAAAAAAAAGAGAAGATTCATTACTAAAATCAGGACTGAAAGACGAGACATCACTACCAACCTTACACAAATAAAAAGGATTATAAGGGGATACTATGAAAAATCATATTCCAATAAAATTAGATAACCTAGATAAAAGGACAAATCCTTAGACAAACACAAACTCCCAGAAGTAATTCAAGAGGAAATAAAAAATCTGAACAAGGTTGTAACAAGAAGATGTACAGAACAATGGAATAGAGCCTATTTGTGGTCAATTGATTTCTTTTTCCAGAAGAAAATAGGT